TCCGGCTACCCCGGCCCTGCCGGCCCCGAGCCTCTCTTCCCGCCTTGACCATGCAGGGCGACGTCGGGCCGCCCTTGGCCGCTTCCTGGGCGGCTGGCGAGGCTCTGCGGCGCCCGGCGACGGCCGAAAGAGGGAAGCAAGAGGGGCCCGCGAGGAGCGCGCGGACGCAGCAGGTGCGCGAACTCCCCCCGCCGCGCTGAGAAGCGCTGAGCGGGCGACGGTGCAACTTCCCGGCGGTCTTGGCAGCCGCATGCCCACGACTCGCTTAACCCGCTTGCTCAAAGAGTCCATTTTCTGGGTCCGCACGTTACGCCGATCAAAGGAGCTGAGTTCACACGGTACATTAACTGCCCCAACACCTCAACCTAGGTTAACGGGAACTGAGCTCGAGCAGCTGCTCCGACGCCGGGCCCTTCACTCTGGCCCTTTTGGAGCCCCTCACCCTTTGGAACCGGAAGAGGAGCTGCGTTGTGCGGAGGGAGCTCCAAGTTACGCTCAAGAAAAGGAAAAAGGCCTTCTCCACATCTGCCAGGACTCAGGCGGCAGAATGGATCCTACGCTATAAGATCTGCCTCCCCCCCAACTCCAGGGGTGATCGAGCAAAAAAGATCAGGGGGATCCAGCTGCAGTGGGACGGAGGCTTCCTTTGATTTCTTTGCTGAGTTACTTGTCCTTCTTTCTTTCCTTTCCTTTTTAAAATCAAGATTAGGGGTGATCAAAACCATCCCGACCGTGTTTGCCGGGAAGAAACCAGCCAGGGTGACAAGGTCGAGCGAGGCGCTTCGTCCTCCTCCCTCCGGGGCCCGGATCGCCGCCCGGGCTGCCCCTTCTGTCGCAGCGCCCGTGACAGAGTTAGAGCGCCAAGTCTACTCGGATATTCTCGCAGGGGTTTGGGAATCGGCCCCACTGTACTAAGTGGGATTTCCTTCTGCGGGCCGGACTGTTCTGGCAGGAGGGATCCATTCTGCTGAAGGCCGGGAGGGGGGCGCGACGAGACCACGGCCACCCTGGAGAAGTCTGGGGGTGGGGGACACGGAGATCGACTGGTTGCGTTCACGCAGCAGCTTCAACCAAGTGGTAGGGGTTGCATCCGCACAACCGTAAGCACACCCGAGTTCAGGGGCGCCCCGCGATCTCCTCCTCATAGCAGCAGCGCGCAAACAGTCCCCACCGCAAAGCTCCTTCCCTCCTGCCTAACGCTGCAAGGTGGAGGGAAGGAACGAGCCCGCTTCGGGCTCGTAATGGCCCGCGGGTCCCCACAAGCCGGTTCCCACGAAGGCGGGGATCTCCAGGGTCCTGGATGAGGGGGAGGCCTACTCTGGTTGGGCGGCAGGCGCTCCAGCCCAGGGCCCCGCTCCCTCTCCTGCCCCCGGATTCAGAGGGCCGGAGCGAGCGGAGGGGAGCATTCCTTGGGACGGCCGGGAGGATCGTCCCCCCGTCCTTCACACCGAATCCCGCAGAGTCCCGCTTCGAAGCAGGCGACAGACCCTCTGCCTCCCCCTGCTCGCTCGCCTTCTGCGGCCCGCTCGGCCGTGCTGAAAACCAGGGGCTGCCAGGAGACCCCTGCCCCGTCGGCCTCCCCGACCGAGGCGACTTTCCCTGGGAAGGCGCAGTCTGGGGCCCTTCCGCCGGGAGGCCCAGGGCTGGAGGGGCGAAGAGCTCCCAGGAGCAGCGGCCCCTCCTGCGAGGGCCTTCCCCTCCGCCGCCTCCTCCTCCTGGTCTGGCGAGGGGGAACACGCCCCTGCCCGAAGCTGCCGAGGCAGCCTCGCACCCTGGTTCCCCCAAGGCGACCGAAGCCGCTCTTCCGCGCTCTTTCCGGCCACGGCAGGCCTTGCTGGAGCCGAACGAACGCCGTCCCCGACTCGGCCCGGCCTTCGGGACTGGGCGGTGGCCTCGACTGCTGCATTGCGCCGGCCTGGTGGGACGGGAGAGGCCCGCTGCCCCTTCCGCTTTTCTGGGGTCGGCTTGGCGCCGGGGGCTTCCCTAGTTTTCCTCCCTGGAGAGCAAAGGCAAAGGAGGGAAGGGGACTCGGGGCTCCCGCCGTTCCTCGCG